CGCTCTTCCTTGTACCAGGTCCCCCCCCGGTAGACCCTCTCCCCCCTCAGGGTCCTGCCCCTTCAGGTGTGTCCCAGGTAGACGCAGTCGAGCCTGTCGAGGTTACTGGTGACTCTGGTGCTGCTGAGGGTGCTGAGCCTGGGGGTGCTGACTCTGGGGGTGCTGAGCGTGTGGGTGCTACGCCTGGGGGTGCTGAGCCTGAGGGTGCTACTACTGGGGGTCCTGAGCCTGGGGGTGCTGAGCCTGGGGGTGCTACTACTGGGGGTGCTGAGCCTGGGGGTGCTGAGCCTGGGGGTGCTACGCCTGGGGGTGCTGAGCCTGGGGGTGCCACGCCTGGAGGTGCTGAGCTTGGGGGTGCGGAGCCTGAGGGAGCTGGGCCTGCTCGTGTGGCGTCTCGCGGTGCTGAGCCTGGAGGTTCTCCGGGCTCTTCGTCTCGACGGGAGCCACTCTCTCCACAGGAGCTGCGCGAGTGGTTTGCACGGCGCTGGAGGCGTGCTGCTGGAGCTGGAGGTTCGTCGGCTGCTGAGGGTGCTGGTGCCGCGGGTCCCGGAGGTGCTCGTACTGGGAGTACTGGAGCTGCTGGGCCTGCGGGTACGACTGGAGCTGGAGCTGCTGAGGGTGTTGGCGCTGAGGCTACTGCTGTCGGTCCTGGAGGCGGTCCTGCTGGGGGTGCTACTGGTGCTGCTGGAGGTACTGGAGCTGGAGGTGCTGCTGGCACTGGTGCTGTCGCTGGGGGTACTGGTGCTGTCCCTGCTGTGTCTGGAGTCGCCGCGCGACCTCGACCGTACTTCGTTCCGCTCCTTCAGCATGTTCTTGGTCTCCCGCCTTCTACTGGTCCTCCTCCTCCCTTAGAGTGTCCACAGCCTGTCCCGTCACAGTTACAGTTACAGCCGGCCTCCCCACTGCCCGCTCCTTCTCCCTACACTGGTCCTACTGGAGGTCTTGCTGAGCGTCGTGAGCCTGCGTCTCGCCCTGTGTCGCCTGTCCGTGCTGCTCGCACTAGTGGCCGTGGTTCGCGTCAGCGTCCTCCTCCTGTCCCTGGCACGCACCGGATGTCTCTGCGTCCGTCCACTGCTCCTCTACGTGCCCCTTTGCCTTCTCCTCCTGAGTCCTCTCTTCCTGCTCTTCCTGACCCGGAGTCGGACTCTCTTCGTGCTGCCAGTCCTACTGTCACGCGTCTCCTTGCTACTGTTGTCACTGACCCTTCCTTTGAGTCCACTGCTGCGTCTGCCCTAGTTACTGAGCTCGTCGACTTTGCTGCTCGCTGTCGTCTAGACTACGCTGCTAGTCTTGTTGCTGAGTCTGAGTCTGTCTGTCCTCCGTCCGTCGGGGGTGAGTGTGCCCTTGGCACGGACGTCCTTGAGGACAGGCAGGAGGAGTTCCAGTGTTTGGCTGCTGCTTCACCTCATCTCGTGTCCGTACTGCTTACCCCTGAGGGAGACCCGGATGCACTTGACATCCCGACTCCGCGCTCTTACGCGGAGGCGATAGAGGGTCCCTACTCCTCTCAGTGGCAGGCAGCTATGGACGCAGAGATGGCTTCCTGGAAGTCCACAGGCACCTACGTTGACGAGGTTCCCCCGCCTGGGGCGAACATCGTCAGTGGCATGCGGATTTTCAGGGTGAAGCGGCCGCCGGGTTCTCCGCCTGTCTTCAAGGCGCGTTACGTGGCTCGTGGCTTCAGTCAGCGGCAGGGAGTTGACTACTTTCAGACCTTCTCTCCCACCCCGAAGATGACCACTCTTCGGGTACTGCTGCACATAGCTGCTCACCGCGACTACGAGCTGCACTCTCTTGACTTCAACACTGCTTTCTTGCAGGGCAGCCTGCACGAGGAGATCTGGCTGCGTCGCCCACCTGGCTTCACTGGGTCCTTTCCTCCTGGCACCCAGTGGAGCCTCCGGCGGCCAGTCTACGGTCTCCGCCAGGCACCGCGTGAGTGGCACGACACACTGAGGACTACACTTGCGGCTCTTGGGTTTGCTCCCTCTACTACCGACCCGTCGCTGTTTCTACGCACCGACACTTCTTTGCCGCCGTTCTACATCCTCGTGTACGTCGACGACTTGGTCTTCGCCACAGCTGACACTGCTGGACTCGCCCACGTGAAGTCCGAGCTGCAGAAGAGACACACGTGCACAGACCTGGGTGAACTGCGTAGCTACCTTGGCTTGCAGATCACCCGGGACAGAGCACGCCGCACCATTACCCTGACTCAGTCACACATGGTGCAGCAGGTCCTTCAGCGCTTCGGCTTCACGTACTCCTTGCCTCAGGCCACTCCTCTGCCTACTCGCCACTCGCTCTCAGCTCTGCCTTCGGATGAGTCCGTAGAGTCGAGTGGCCCGTACCCAGAGCTTGTTGGCTGCCTCATGTACCTGATGACCTGCACACGACCTGACCTTGCATACCCTCTTAGCATTCTTGCACGCTATGTTGCTCCTGGGAGACACAGACCGGAGCACATGGCTGCAGCGAAGAGGGTGTTGCGCTACTTGTGCAGTACGTCGGGCATGGGGCTTGTGCTTGGAGGGCAGAGTCCAGTGGTCCTCACTGGGCACGCAGACGCTTCTTGGGCTGACGACCAGGCTACGCAGCGGTCGTCACAGGGTTACACCTTCAGCCTTGGTTCCGGCTCTGTTTCGTGGCGGGCTACCCGCTCGTCTTCTGTTCTCGGCTCCAGTTGTGAGGCTGAGATCTACGCCGGGGCCATGGCTGCACAGGAGCTTCGCTGGCTCACCTACCTGCTGACTGACCTCGGAGAGCCGCCTCGTTCTCCTCCAGTACTGTACGTAGACAACAAGGCCATGCTGGCCTTGTGTCGAGAGCAGAGACTGGAGCACAGAACGAAGCACATTGCTCTCCGCTACTTCCTTGCTCGTGAGCTACAGCAACGTGGTCAGCTGCGACTTGCGTACGTGGCCTCTCAGGCCAACACTGCTGATATCTTCACCAAGGCACTTGCGCCTTGTGATCATCAGCGCTTCTGTACTCAGCTGGGTCTTGTGCCTACCTTGCCTCACTTGCTCACCCCTTGACCTTGTTTGTACTGTTGCATATATATATATACACCTGCTCTTGCTTGTCTAGCCTTATATATATATATATGTAATCCTGCATGTGAACTGGCCTTGTGGCCTTGAACTTGTGCTCGGAATGTGTGGTGACTTTGTGATCCACCCTGAGCTTGTTTTTGCTTTGCTTGACTGGTCTTGTGACCCCTTGTTCTCCCCCACTTTGCCTATGGGGGTGTGTCAGATTTATATGACATAGCTACTGTAGGCTATAGTGGGGTAGCACATATGGGGTACAGTTTTCCTAGGGTTTGCATTTGTACCAAACTTTCCCTTAGTCATTTCATTCCTCGTTTCTTCTCAGCGGACCATAATTGTTCAAGCGCTATTCAAGTTTTTGCGTGTCAAGAAAACCGCACTGAACAATGTAAAAACGTTCTTAAACTCTAATCAGTCGTTTTCAACCCATGTTGTTTCTTGAACAGCTTGTTCCGTAGGCCGTCTTGAACAACTGTGGACCACGCCCTGAGCTGAACGCACATGATTGGCCAGTAAGGGATCGCACACAGTCGTTAAGCGTCGCAACCTTATCGCTTGTTCGAAGTTGCTTGTTCGTAACCACCCGAAATCCTTCTCATTGTCATAACCGAGATTCCTTATCGGAGAGTTTTGCTCAATCCCACGGAATCGCGCTTCGTTTTATTATCGCCACGTGGCATGCCTTCGATCGCGGGAACCGTGATCTGTTTTATTGTTCCCACGAATTTCAAGAAAAATCTAGTTAAGTTTAGTGGGTCATATGTACTGCGCTGCCCGCGGGCAAAAATAAACCCCTATAGGAAAGGCATGCGTTAGGGATGCATCAACCCTAAACACCTTGCCTCTAGGTGTTTAGGGTTGATGCCTCCCTAACGCATGCCAGGCCTGAATGGGTTTTATTTTTGCCCGCGGGCAGCGCAGTTCATGCGACCCACTAAACTTAACTAACTAAAATTTGAAAGGGAAATGATCAAAGAGGGCCGTACAGTGCCAGAGAGGTGACCAACCAGGGGCCGAGAGGCCCGGAACTAACCAAACCGCTGCGCAAGGGGGGATTAACAGAGAGGTTCGTCACGGCTTGCATTTTCCCTCGCACCTCAATATTCTTTGGATATCGTAAATGATTCGTTTTTTCCACCCGGTAGCGTTGTTTCGCGAGCCAGGTAGTGCTACCGGCGGTACAGACGCTACAAGGAAATGTTGGGGCAGCCTAAACAAACTAAAACCAATATGGAACCCGGACGCATTTTTGGGACGGATCAACTTAAAAAACGGGAACCCGCCTGGTGTTTAGGGTTGATGTCTCCCGAGTCGCATCCGTTTCCGAACGGGTTTTATTATTTACATCGGCTGAAGTGATGCATTTTTTTCGGAAAACGATTATGCATTTCATTTCTAGGGTTTAGGAACATGACGAAACCTACTTCCAGAGGAATGCGACGCAAGCTTCGTATTCGGCGGTGATCATAATCTATGGAAACAACATTGAACCAAGATAGTCGAGCTTTTAGTAATTTCCTTTACACATTGGTTCTAATTCTCGGCCCAACCACTTGGGCAGCCCCGGGGGTGTATCCAACGGTTGGGATCAACCCGGCCCTAATTTGGTCACCTCCCTGCTATTGTTCGGCCCCTATTTGATCTTTTCCCAATTTGAAAGTTGTGGGAACAATAAAACAGATCGCGGTTCCCGAGATCATAGGCAGGCCACGTGGCGATAATAAAACGAAGAGCGATTCCGCGGGATTGAGCAAAATTCTCTTCCTTTTCGGTATGAACCACCTCACCTTAGAATGTCTTCATAGCTAATCGCCAGCGGTCCCAGCATTCAACCATGGCTTCCCTCCTCCTGTTCTAACACAGCCCACCATAATCCGTCTCTTCTTAAACGCGTCGCATCTCGTCATGCACCAGATTTCTGGCGTCGCCGGCGCGCCCTCCGATGCGATGTATCGCGATGTCGTGCATCGCCGCTGGGCGCGCGCGTTTCTCTTCCACCTGCTCTCCATCGGCCCCTTCCTCTTCCTCTGGGCCGCGCCGCTCGTCGTCCGCGCGGGCCTCCTCCCGTCGCTCCTATCTTTCTTCTCGCTGCGCCTCTACCTCGCCTTCGCGATTTTCGATATTTCGCAGCTTCTCTTCGTTCTAGCTCGCCACGCCATCGTCGTCGCCGATGCCCCTCCGCTCCCCTCCACCGCCTCCCTCCTCGCTTCCGCCGCAAATCTCGCCGGATTTTCCGGCACATCAGATCCACGCCCGCTCGTGCATCAAGACCAACAGATTCGCGCAGTGCTCGGCGGGTTTCGCGGCCCCGCCAGCCAATGGGAGGCGGAAGCGGCTAGGGCGACGCTGGCGGGCCGCGCCAAGTTCGCCGCTCTCTGCGCCGCGGCGGGAGCCGCAGGAGCGATCGCGCTCTCGCTCTTCCGCGCGCAGCTTATGGGCGGCGCGGCGGAGATCGAATCCAACAGCGCGTGGTGGCCCGACGGTTGGGCCGTGGCGGGCGAGGCTGGATTCGGCGTCGCGGTGGGTGTGCTGTTCGCGGCGTACCACGTGGTGCGGCGCGACTACCTCCTCGCGTTCCCCGTGCTGCAGGTGCGCCGCGCAGCTGGGTTCCACCCCGCCCACCCGTGCATCTGCTGGCCGCGCTGCTCGTGCGCCCTCTTCGCGTTGATCGCATGGTTCACAGTTTGACTCTCCGTGGCGGGGGCATGCATGACAGCGGACATGCTGGGGGCACTGATCCGCTCGGGCCAGGCCGCGTCCCCCCATGTGCTCCACCACCCGCACATGCGCCTCCGTTCCCGTGCCATAGCCCTCGCACCTGCCGCGCGGCAAGGCAAGGGCACAAGGGCACAAGGGCAGTGGAGACATGCCGCTGCAGCGCTGCGCTCCATGACTCACGTCTCCAAGCCCCTCTAAGCCCCCAACCCTCTATCCTGAAACCCAACTTCCCACCCGAAATATCCCCCCCCCCCCCTGTCGCTCTGTCTGTGCCATCCTGCCACACCCCATACCCCCCACAGCGCGCCCCGTTCTACCGATTTAAGACGACCCTCCCCCGGTGCGCCACGTCAGCAGCCACGTTCGGGTGCCTCACTGCGCTCCTCTACTCCCTCCTGCTCCGCCCGCTCCTCCTGCCCCTCCTCGCCACCGCCACCACCGCCGCCACCGGCATCCCCCTCCCCTTCCTCGCCCCTCCGCCTCTCTCCATCCGCGCGCTGCTGCTCGCCCTGCTGGCCCGCCTGCACGCCGTGGCGTTGCTCGCCTTCTCCTGGGAGGCCGCTGCAGCCGCCACGGACATCTTCCTCACCCACCGCCACCTCTTCCTCCCCCCGCCCCACTCCCCCTCCTCCCCCATCGCCCCCCTCCTCCTCGCCCTCTCCCCCTCCCCGTCCCCCGCCCCTCCTCCGTCCCCGCCCCCCCTGCCCCTCCTCGCCCTGCCCGCGCCCCCCGCCCTGCCCCGCCTCGTGCTGCACTGGGCGCTGCTCGACCTCTCGCTGCTCGCCGAATCAGAGGCCGACACGTGGCGCCGTGCGGCGCTGTTTGAGTCGCAGGAGGCGTACAGCGCGGTGGTGGCGGCGTGCATGCTCCCCCTCGATGCCATGACGGCCCGAGTCGCTGCCGCCGCTGGTTACCCCACCGTTACAGGTGCACTGCAGCATCAGCAGCAGCAGCAGCAGCAGCAGCAGCAGTACTCGTTACAGTCACCCTCGGCTGCAGTCACAGCAGCCGGATTTGCTTCTGCTGAAGGGTTGAGATGGCGGCAGGGGAAGGGCGGAGGGGAGGGGGTGGAGGGGCAGGCGCTGCAAGGGGGGGGGGTCGGAGGAAGCGGCACATATGGGGGGTTTGGGGGGCAGGCCTGGAATGGAGGGGTGAGATCAGATCTTGGGGCAGCCGCGGGGGAAGGGGGGGGTGGATTGGGTGTGGGCGGGACGGAGCAGAGGAGAGGCGCGGTGAGAGCGCCCAGCGCAGCCGAGGTGTTCTTTGACTGGCAGGTGAGAGGGCGGCAGGTGAGAGGGCGGCAGGTGAGAGGGCGGGGCAGGTGAGAGGGCGGCAGGTGAGAGGGCGGCAGGTGAGAGGGCGGCAGGTGGGAGGGCGGGGCAGGTGAGAGGGCGGCAGGTGGGAGGGCGGCAGGTGGGAGGGCGGCAGGTGGGAGGGCGGCAGGTGGCAGGTGGGGTTGTGGCAGGTGGGGTTGTGGCAGGTGGGGTTGTGGCAGGTGGGGTTGTGGCAGGTGGGGTTGTGGCAGGTGGGGTTGTGGCAGGTGGGGTTGTGGCAGGTGGGGTTGTGGCAGGTGGGGTTGTGGCAGGTGGCGTTGTGGCAGGTGGGGTTGTGGCAGGTGGGGTTGTGGCAGGTGGGGTTGTGGCAGGTGGGGTTGTGGCAGGTGGGGTTGTGGCAGGTGGGGTTGTGGCAGGTGGGGTTGTGGCAGGTGGGGTTGTGGCAGGTGGGGTTGCATCACATGCATGGGTTTCTGCAGGCGGTGCAAAAAGGCTCCTGATACCTCCAACAGTCACCGCTGCTGCCCCTCCCCCTTTCCTCTCCCACATGCCCGACCCATGCACCCCTGATTCTCCCATCCCAATTCCACGTCTTCCACACCCCTCCATTTATACCCCACGTGTCTTTCCCCCACACCAGCTGTGCGCCATGAGCATGCGGGCGCTGGCAGCGCTGACAGCAGCATCGCGCACGGAGGACCGCATGGGCGTGGCGCAGATGGCGGGCGCCAACGCCGCTGCGCTCTCCTCACTGCTCTCCAACCTGCTCTCCCTCGACCACCTCCTCCTCTCCCCCTCCCACCGCCACCCCGCCGCCCCCGCCACCTTCTCTGGCTTCGGGGAAGCTTCCTCGCAAGCGCCTCCTCCTGGTGCCTCTCAACCCGCCTTCTCCCACCAGACCTCGGCTCTAGCTTCGGGAAGCGGAGGTTTATTTGGCACACCTACCCTAGGTCTTAGGTATGGAGGAACTGAAGCAGGTGGTTCGGCCGTGCCAGGCGTGGGAGCAGGGGGCGGGGTGGTGGGGAGAGCAGTGTACGGTGAGGGGGTGGTGGGGCCGGTGTGGGGCGAGGCATGGGCCATGGCGGATGTGGTGCGCACCGCTCTGTACCGCATTGCAGAGACGTTTGGGGAGGAGATGGTGGAGAAGGGGGGCGGGGCGATGGGAGGAGGGAGAGGGGGAAGAGGAGGCAGTGGGGCAGGTTCGTGGAGGGTGGACGAGGCATGGTTGCCGCTGTTTGGGTCGAGAGAAGCGCATGCAGCCAAGGTGCTGTCGCTGCTGGCACACACCGAGTAGTGTGGTCCAAGGCAGTGCGGTTTTGTGCGGTTGCCGGTTCATAGTCATCAAGGCATGTGCTTACACACTAATTTGCGTGCAGAACAAGCAGCAGTGTGTTAAAGCCCAAGACCTAAATTGCTCAACGCAAGTCAACGCGGGGCAAAACTGTGGGCTGCGGGAGGCAAACTGTGCACAGTTTGCCCTTGTTTTTTGTAATTCGGGTCTTGAGCTTTAAATGCTATGTACGGTACTAGGTCTGATGCGGGGAGAACATGCACATCCTGTGGATGTGTTTTTGCCCACGTGAGCAGTTTTGACATGTGAGCAGTTTTGACATGTGAGCAGTTTTGACATGTGTGCAGTTTTGACATGTGTGCAGTTTTGACATGTGTGACGAGTTCAGTACACATCAACGCTGGTGATCACACTATGTACAAACATGGCAAGCATGCTCTGACAACCATCCCACTTCGACAGTCCATATCCACACGTGCATCAAAAGCACTGTCGTCCTCGTACCACTCTCCACCACTCTGCTATGCGCCCGCCACATGCGCCTTGGGAGGGGCCTCTCCGACATGCTCCACCTCCTTCTCCCCTCCTCCCACCTCCCTCTTGCCGCCTTTGGCTTCGCCCTCACACTTCCCTTCCACCTTGGCTTCCCCCATGGCTTCTCCCTTCCCCTCGCCCCCCTCGCCCCCCTGGGGCCCCTTCCACCCGCTCTCCTGCAGCCACTTGCGCCACGTCTTGAGGTGCGGGTTGCAGCGCCGCGCGTTGCTGATGTCATGGCAGCCGAAGTACGTGTGCTGGGAGAACCAGCGGAACATCTGCGCGGGAGGCACAGGAAGGAGGATAGACAGGTGAGAGGGGGCGTGGCATGGTACTAAGCAAGGGGCTCACAGAAGAATCACTTTCACCATCCCTTCTTGGACATTCCACACTGTGCCCTGAAGCCAGACAAGCCAGAGTGCAGGTGTCCCTCATCGTTCCCCCTCACCTGCGTCCACTCCTCAGAGGCCGCCTTGTCAGTCGTCTCCAGGCGGGCGGGGAGGCCCGTGGCGCGGTGGAAGTCGGAGACGTACTGGTGCACGGGGGCGTGGTAGCCCGCCAGACACATGTACTCGCCCTGCCACCCACGCATGCATGCATTCAGGGGCGCAGCAGAGGCAGAGGAATGGGATAGGAGTGAGCAGAGCAGGAACACAGGGGCCAACTCATGGGGGGCAAGCACAAGCAGTGAAGTGAGCACCAACAGCACGAGCAATCCACTTGGTTTCTCCAGTAGAGCCAGGTCGCGGCGAGAGCACTCACATCCCACTCATCGGGGTGGTCGAGGGCGTTGAGCACGGCGGCACCGGTGTCGTCCACATCAAAGGCTGTCAGCATGTCATCGGGTGCCATGGGCAGCTCAAACACCACCGTGCCATCCGCCTCCGCCCTGGCGAGGTGGAAGTGGGCGAAGTTCTGGTAGTAGAAGGCGCACATGACGAACGTGTGGTGCTTGAACCCGCTCGCCCTCACCGCCTCCTCCACCTGCCGCGCTCGAGGGGGGAGATGGCACAGTGACGGCGCAGAGGTGCGTGCGGTGCGAGATGAGGCGAAAAGCTGATGATATGGCACCCATGGCGTGGTAAGGCAGCAACGAGTGGGAGGCAGCAGCAGAGCAGGGCGAGACGGAAGAGAGTGTGCGGAAGGCGCCTACCTTGGCCTTGTTGGTGAAGTGAGGCACGTTGAGCTGGCCCTTGGAGAGGCGGTGCACGTGAGGCAGTGTGCTCCACACCACGTGCTGCACGCCCGCCCCTCTCGCCTCCTCCACCACGCCCCTCCCCACCTCCTCCTCGCGCTCGCCCAGCGAGTAGAAGTCCGTCACCTGCTCGCCGGGGGAGAAAGGGGAGGGAGAGATAGAGCAAGAGTAGTAGAGGCGGGGTGTGGAGAACCTGTTTGACAAAGACATGTGGAATAGAGCAAGAGCAAGAGCTAGGGCATGGCGATGGGAGGTTAACCAAATAGCACGCGACTGAAGGGTGACGTGAGCGCTCTACACGCGCTGCACGAGGTGCTCAGGTGCCCGCGGAGCACTCACCACGAACGCGCCATACGCGCCCTCCAGCGCCGCGCGCACGGCCTGGCGGTCCGCCTGGTCGGCCTGCGCCACCTCCACCTTGGCGTCCCTCAGGTGCGCGGCGCGCGGCGAGTGCGCGTGGCGCGTGACGGCGCGGATGCGGTAGCGCCCGCTCGCCAGCAGCGCCGCCACCACGCTGCTGCCCTGCGCGCCTGGTGGGGGGGGGGGGGACGGGAGGGTGGGGGGAGGAGGGCGGGGAGGGCGGGGACGGACTGTGTGCAACGAGAGGGGGGAGAGAGACGGACACAAGTGGGCGCCGAAGACGACGTGGAGAGGCGCGGAGAGGCGCGGAGAGGCGCGGAGAGGCGCGGAGAGGCTCACCGGTGGCCCCGAAGACGACGATGAGCGGCTTGTCCGGCGCCGTGTGCGGCTCGCCGGAGCGCACTGTGAGTCGGCGTAGGGACGACGTGAGATGCCCCCACATGCTGCCGTTGCGAGTGCGACGATTGCGACGATTGCGATGATTGCGATGATGCGATTAGCGAAGAGTGAGATGGCGGAGCGACGGACTGAGAGTCCTCGGATGAGACGGACTGGTGAAGGAAGCGGCGAGTGTGGCGATGACGAAGGAACTAGGTGAGCGCAAGTGAACAGACGCGATTCAGAGGCCCGCTCGAGAGGTAAGGACTTGCACAGGCGAGTGGGACTTCCTCGCGGAGCTTCAGTCGACCGCGCCGTCAGACTCAGCACGGCGGAGGCGCGCAGCAGTCGACATTGAGAGGCAGCATCACATCACTCGACATTCTTCGCGAAAGAAACGGCGCAGCGCGTTCAGCACTCGTGACGAATACCTGGGCGATGTGCATTGCGTGCGCGGCGTGCGGGTGCATGCACGAGGAGGAGCCGCGTCGGGTGTGTTCATGCGCGCGAGCCGCATCGCCGCGGCGAGTCGCAGCAATGCGGTGGTGAGACAAATGCCAGCCGCTGTGGTGCGCATCTCGCAGACAAGGGGTGGGCCATGACTCCTATTGAATGATGAAAGAGAGTTGGGGTAGTGGTGAAGGGCATGCATGGCCCCGCTATGAGAGGACACCTCATCAGAAATCAACATAGGGCGGCACATTTCTCACATGCAAAACCTTCTTAGTTGTAACAAACAGCGCACAGAAATGTAAACAAGTGATTGCAAGATACTCATAGAAACGAAAGCCTACGCAAATATAGAGAGGTACCCTAGTAAAAAATACTCGTCACCCTCCGTCTGACTCTGAATCTTCAAAGTCAATCTGCACCCACAGAGCACCTTTACATTTGTACCTATTTGTGTTCCTACACAGCAATAGCAACAACAACATGGTAGAAGTGTGGGAGTGAAAGGCGTCTCAGAAAGTGAATGCAACGGAATGATTGACTTAGGAGAGCAAGGCATACAAATAGAAACCCTAAGAGTGTTGTACTCCTTAGAGTGCTACTCACTGCAGCCTACAATCAATAACAACATTTGACACACCTCCGTAGGCTAAGTGAGGGGCATCAAAGCAAGCATGGTGAACAAACAGTCACAAGACCAGTCAAAGCAAGAAACAAGGCAAGCTCAGGGTGGATCTCAAGGACACCACACAAATTCCGAGCGCAAGCAAGCGGCCACAAGACCAGTTCAAGAGTTCACTAGGATATATATAAGAAAACACAACAAGCAGAGCAAGCAACAAGACTACAGCAAACGAGGGCCTACCCCAACAAGCCCCAACTGCACACAGAACCTGTGGTGATCACCAAGCGCCAAGGCCTTGGTGAAGACGTCTGCAGTGTTGGCCTCGGAGGCCACAATGTCCAGGCATGCCTGGCCGCGTCGCTGCAGCTCTCGCAGGAGGAAGTACCTCACGTCAATATGTTTCACTCTGCTCTCCAGTCGAGGCTCTCGACACAGGAGGATCATGGCCTTGTTGTCAGCATACAAGGTCGGTGCAGAGCGAGGCCGCTCACCAAGGTCGGCGAGCAAGAAGGTCAACCAGCGAAGCTCCTGTGCCGCCATGGCACCAGCGTAGATCTCTGCCTCTACATTGGAAGTAGCCACAGACGACGACCGTGTAGACCTCCACGACACAGCACCAGCTCCCAGACTGAAGCAATAACCCTGAGTCGAGCGCTGAGTCTCCACGTCGTCAGCGTAGGAAGAGTCGCAGTGACCAGTCAAAGCCACTGGCTGAGTCCCTCCAAGCACAAGCCCCATGCCTGATGTAGTCGCCAGGTACTTCGCCACCCTCACAGCAGCTGTCCAGTGGACAGGACGGTGTCTCCCAGTCGCAACAAAGCGAGAAAGTATGCTGAGGGGAAAGGCGAGGTCCGGCCGAGTACAAGTCACCAGGTACATGAGGCAGCCCACCAGCTCTGCGTAGGGACCACTGGACTCAAATGGCTCGTCGGGAAAGGGGCCAGTGAGTCTGTGGTCAACAGCAAGAGGTGTGGGCTGTGTGGTGGAGAACTGGAAGTCGAACCGCCGAAGGACCTGCTGCACCATGTGTGACTGAGTCAGTGTGATGGTGCGAGCGGCTCTGTCCCTGGCGATCTGCAGGCCAAGGTAGCGCTGCAGTTCACCTAGGTCAGTGCACTTGTGTCTCTTCTGCAGTTCGGACTTCACCTGAGCCAGAGCTGCCCTGTCTGCTGTGGCAAAGACCAAGTCGTCGACGTACACTAGTATAAAGAAAGGAGTGGAACCAGTGCGAACAAACAGCGACGGGTCGGCAGAGGAAGGACAAAACCCAAGGTCACGAAGCGTGGAGCGAAGAGTGTCGTGCCACTCCCGGGGCGACTGGCGGAGACCGTAGACTGGCCGTCTCAGGCTCCACTGGGTCCCAGGTGGGAAGGTGTCAGTGAAGCCAGGAGGGCGGCGCAGCCAGATCTCCTCGTGTAGCCTGCCCTGGAGAAACGCAGTAGAGAAGTCAAGGGAGTGCAG